AGTCAGGACCAACCAGCAAACTTCAGCCACATGCATCACTAACCCTCGCCCATGAGCGACACAAAGCAGGTGTTTCATTATAATGAGGAATACGAATCCAGTGAAAGAAGAGTGGTCCCTACCTGTCAATTATCACTGGATCTGAGGGAGTCTCATTTCGGTTGCCACAGCTTTTCTTGTCACAACAGCGACTGCGGAGCAAAAGCGAGAGGATTTAGTACCAACCATTACAATGTAAAATCATCATTTAAGCAGACAGAAGGTTCAAATTGCTGGGTTGCAAATGCTAGAATTACCACAAAGCTATACCTGGCAATCAACGGATCCCAGGAAGAGAAAATTCTATTTGGGTCACTTATGGGTTAATGGCCAGGCTTAACCTCTAGCTGCTCAGAGTACAGGAGAGGGAGAGGGCCCTGGCAGAGCCAGAAATGCTGCCCTAAGATGGGGTCTCTCCTTCACTACACGGGTATTGGCAGAGTTCAGTGTGAAGTACTGTGTTCTCACATCTACCCAATGAGAATATTCAGGGTCGTGGGTGGATCAAACAGTCTTCCCTCAAGAACACATTAATTGTGTGGAAGGCGTCAATAATGAGGATGAGTGATTTCTCTCCCTGTAGTCATTCTGTATTAAATGGATTCTTTTTCCTCCTCTCTTTGATGGGTGGCACTTCCTTCAACCACAACCTTCTCAAACATCCCAGAGCAATGATGGTTTGCACTTGAACACCTCCCTGAGAATAAAGAGACACACAGTGATCTACATAAGAAGAAAGTGCAGTCTGTCCTCAGTCCTCCGGCTTTGATGGCCAGCACTGGCCACTACTTTAGTTTTCTGAGAGAATTGGGGACAATGGATCCAGTGGCTAGCACAATCCTGATTGTAAACACTAGAACACAAGAATAGCCATGAGCAAAGAAAGCCCTGCTACACAGATCCCATGCTGTTGTGTCCTTGAGACTGCCAGGTTAAAAATAAATAAATAAGTGTTTTCTCTTTCAAGACAGGGTCCCAGGCATCCAAGACTGGCTTCCAAGCTTGCTAAGTAGCTAAGGATAATCTTGAACTTCTGGTCCTCCTCCCATCACCTCCTCAGTGCTGGCTAGGATTATAGGTGCATACCCACTTCATGGTGTGGTGTTGGAGATTGAACCTGGGGCTTCCTGCATGCACTCTACCACCTGAGATACGCAACCCTCAGCTGAAAAAACATCATGTTTCTGAAAAATACCCACCCTCGCTCAGCAGAAAACTATCAATCTGAAATGTGTTTGTAAGTCACAAGCTGCCCCCTGGCTGGTCTCTACTCAGAATACACTATGGAAGAACAAGCTCCATCAGAAAAGAAGGGTGGAAGGTTTGCCAGGAGCTTGACTCCACTGCATACCATAACTAAAATAGGTACTTTTCTCCATTCCTCTTATACATTCTAATATATGTAAATATATACACGAACTCACTCACACACACTCACACATACACACTCACACACATACTCACTCTCACATACATAAACACAATACACTCACACACAAACATATACACACACATACTCACACAAACACACACACACACACACACACACACACACACACACACACTTTCTAAATTTAGAGATCTTCTGGAGACTACCAAACTTCACTTTTCACTTTCCAAACATAGGAAGTCTTTCAGCAAAATTAAGACACCTTCCTCTCTTTCACTGAATCCCTGCGAGATGAATCAGCTTGGGCCTTGTTCTGAGTCTTTATTTCAAAGACAATAGAAAGAATTGCATCTCCATTCTCAGAGCCTCAGCTGAAAAACACTGTCTCCCCCACAACCCAAGCACTTTCTGATTCACAGGAAACTCTTTTCTCTGGGCCTAAATTCTGTTATGCTAATAAGTCACACTATGCATTGACACCTAGGTATCCTATCTGAGAGATCAATAAAGACATGAGGGAGAAGAAATGTTAGGGGTTGACATGTGTGCAAAATAAATAGCTAAAAACTCAACACCAGGGGCCAACAAGATGGCTCAGCAATAAAGGTGCTTGCCACCAAGCCTGAAGACCTCTCCCAACTCCAAGTCTGAGAAGCCTGAGCTATGCAGAGGGAGTGATTACCAAAAGCAGCCCACTGATGATGTCATGTTCTCTTTATCCAAGGAAGAGAGCAGATGAGTGAGAAAGCCTGTTCCTCCATCCTTCTCCTTCTCAGAACAAGTAGACCCTTGGTGACTGTACCCTCTCCACAGTCCTTCCTGGGTGAAATCTCCTCAGCAAACTC